AAAAAAGAAAGAAAATCTAATCAGAAAGACTGATGATAGGCATTTAATATATTTAACTTTAGAGCTAGAAAAAAAATTAAGGTGGTATAAGGGCAGAAGAATAGTATATGTTATACAATGTATATTATGTGCTTTTTAACAAATTAAAAACAATACAACTAAACATTAGGACTAAAAGAAAAAAAGGAAAGGAGAGAAGGGGTTATTTCATTGATTTTTCTATAAATGACTGGTTGGAATTAAATAATACCATGTTTTTTAAAAGTGTCAGGGACCAGCAGATGGTGTAATGGTTATGTCACTGGATTCCTACATAGTTGATTGACCATGGTTCAAGTTCTGGTACTGACGACTTAAAACTCATGCCAGGCACGTGCGCGTGCATGCCCAAGATCCTTAGAGAAGAATGGAGGAAAAAGGATTACAGCATGGCCATCCCTCCCAGGGGATGATTTCTCGTTTTCTGTCTCTCTGGTAAGCACATGCACCCTTTTGCAAAACTCTCTCTCTCAAAAAAACCCCAAAAAACCAAAAAAACAAAAAACCTGTCAGAACTGAAAGTATTACATTAAATAAGAAAATGTGCATCTAAGATCATTAAACATTATATAAATACAAAGTTAACAACTAGAACAAATCACAAACTTTCCTAAATACCAAAAGAAATATAATTAGTAGAAGAGATGAAACCAATCAGGTAGAAGAAGAAAAAATGTAATACACTTAATATCATACCATGACATAATATGACAGACTTAAAATTAAACATAAAAATAAACTTGAATGAATCTAACAGAATATTAAAAATTTTTTAAATTTCAATTTGGCTAACAAGGAAAGACCCAACTAAATTCTGTATACAAAACGAAGCCTTAAAATATAATAACTCATAATGACTAAAAGGGAAAGGCAAAATGTGTACCAAGGGGACCAAGAGAGGGTGTAACAGTTACGTCGCTGGACTCCCACATAGTCGACCGTGGTTCAAGTGCCGGACTCAGCAGCTTAATACTCCCGCCGTGTGCATGCATGCCCAAAATCCTGAGAGGAGAATGGAGGAGAAGAGGTTGTGGCATGGCCAT